ACGCCTATGATTTCAGGGGAAGTGTTTGATCTGTTTTTGAGAGTCAGAACCAAGGCGTATATTAGCCATGCAATTGAAGAAATTCCACAGCTACTGTGTATTCCTCCGAGACTTTGGAGGAGGGCGGTGGTGGCAGTCTTCATTTGGAGCGGCACCCAAGATCTCCCCAACACCTTGACTGCAAGCCAAAAAACTACCCTTAAAAAGGCCTCGCTTCTACAGAGTGTAAGAGCAAGAATGTTTCCGATGGAAAACAGGACAGCTCTGTTTCGTGCATATGGGAAGTGTCCAGTAGCTGCAAGGACCAATCCGGTGATGTTTAGGGTTAAACAAACGGCGAAGAGTCTCTTGTACACAGTGAACAGTCCTTGATCGAGCAATATGATGGATAGCCTGGACTCTGGCTTTCGAGCTGGCTTTGGTGGTTGTCCTGAACGTTTGCTGACTGCAGAGGGAAGAAGGCGTGGCTTCTCATCTTCCTCATAATCTTTGCCTTCTTCCAATCTCTCCAGGATGATGTCTTGCTCATTTTCTTCTTCTTCATCATCATCGAGATCGAGATCACAGAAATGACTGCTTGGTCGACTCAAAGATCTTTGGATGGAGGACGGTAAGACTTTGGAGGAGTTGCCTTGATACCAAGGAAACCAGAACCTACTAGTGTTGTTTGAAGGCTTATTTTGGGGTGGTGTTGGGTTAATAGCAAATGGGTCTGCATGAGGTTTTATCTCAAAGGCCACACCTCTGCAACTTGAGAACCTCACCGGGGTTTGCATGCTTAAGTTGCTCTTAGCGTGCAGGGAATTAATCAATGAATTAGCTCTTGTCGTAGTGAATGTAGAAGAATTGTGTTCTGCATAGCTAGGCAAAGTAGGGGTTTTATAAGGCTTTTTCAGAGGGTTTTGTTTTGTTTGAGCTGACTACTAAATTGTGAGTTATCATTTTTTTATTTTTTGGCCGTTGATTTATATTTTAGTTTTGATATTTTCAAAGTTAATATGCTTTAGCTTCACATATAAAAAATATTGTATATTCTCTTTTTTATTACCGAATTAGATGACCATCCTACAAAATGGTCTAATAGCCAATCATTTTAGACTAATTAGTTTCAAAGAGGATGAACAGGAGAGTTTTGCGTTTGAGACCAGACCATCTCAAAAGTCAGAGCCTAGAGGGATCGATTGATTGCTTTCTTAGATGTTCACAGTGAGAGGAAATTTGATCCATTGCCCAGAAATGATTAACACCAACGGATTAATTGGGGCTAATTAAGTTCATTGGTATATATTTGAATTCCTTTACAAGTACATCTCTTTTTTCTTTTTTCATAGCAATTAAGTAATATATATCATGCATCAATTATACTCACCATATTAACTTCATTTTTTAATTAGGTCAAAAGTAGACCTATCCATTTTGTCAATTCGGTAATATATATATATATATATATATTATGACTTATATGAGTACATTTGAAACCCTTAAAATTAATTAATTAAAAAAACTCAAAAATGAAAATTGTGTATACAATAACCGTATCAAATCAAAAAAGGAACATGAAATTAGATAAAATTTCCACTAAGAATAACCTGAACAATATCAATGAAGTATACACATATAAAAATACACAATAAAATACAGTAAATTATGTAATTTAATGATTAAACTATTTGTGATTTTAGTCAAAATTTTAAAATCATTATAATGTGTCCAAGTACCGTGCGTGGTTATTCAATTATTCTTGTGGTACGATAGACATTACATCGAAATCATATATTCTAATCTTTGGTGCATTCAATTTTAGCATGAATCGAAGATTAAAGCCAATTCATTATCTTGAAAAGTTAGATACTAATTTCTTCCGTTGGTAATCAATCATTAACGTTCTAACCGTACGTTGATTTAGTTTTCTTTCTTTCTTTCTTTTTTATCGACAAAAAACTTTATATATTTAGACGTACAGTTCAAAGCATTAGGCTTCGTCATGCTCGAATTCGAACAATAATTACCAGATTTTGGAACATACAAATTTATAGCCGACTTAGAGGAAGCAAGACTCAGTCTTAATTGATGATTGTTGATATTCTTTTTTTTTTT